TCCATGAGAGGAGGCCTCAGCTGGAAACATCGGAACTTGACTGAAATTAGGGTTTTTCTCTAGCACCAAGGTCTGTCCTAAGATGTTCTGCAAGATTGTCCTCAGTGTTGCCAAGCAAAACCACTGCACATGATTAGAGAGGCCTCCATGGGACCCGATGTCCAAGGACGGTCCATGGGGTTTTATTTGGAACAAAGGAGAAAACAGAAACAGGGCCTCTGCCAAGGACATCCTCCCATATCTCAGCTCAGGCTTACAAGAGAACAGTCCTTGAAAGCTTGGGTTGGTCTTAGCCAACTGCCTGCACCTACACGGAGCCCTGCTCCTTCCACCTGCTACATTATAGTGCGACATGTCCACGTGTCTTACTCCCATCCGGACGTCTGGCTCCTATACAATCTCCCCACAACTGTCCTCTCTCTCATATCCTAGAACACAGTGCAGAGCAATATTCTGAAAGCCTTACATAGTGTTTACCCTACTGCCCTCTGTACAGTTCACATGCTCTTTTTATTCTTCACATACACTCAGAAGATACATACTATTATTATTCTAAATTTTAAAATAAAGAAACAAAGGCATGGAGTGGTTGAGTAACTTCCCCACAGTCACAGAGCTATTCAACAGTGGAACTTGGAGTAGAGCCAGTGTTAAAGAAACCTGATTCCCATCGAGAGACTGAGCGACTCTCAGAGGGTTGGGGAACTCAGGTTTATTACGCTGGCAGGCCCAGAGGTGTTAACACTCCAAAAGCTCTGGACACCATCTGTAGGTTTACCCAGGCTTTTATAGGGTTTTAAGTTTCATATGGAAATGAGGTGTTAGAAATGGACCAATTAGGAGCAAGCTTTTGGGAACCAATAGAATTTTAGGGGTAAATGCAAATGAGGTGTTAGAAATGGACCAATCAGGAGTGAGCTTTTGGGAACCAGTGGAATTTTAGGGGTAAGTTTCATTTTCCTAGAAGCAAGCTGTTTTACAAAAGCACAAAAGCAGGAAGGCAATGGCCCTGCCTGGGGGGTCTTGCTGGTCCCTTTGTGGGTTTTGCCCCTTCACCAGAAAGCCTGCCTCCAGACCCCACACTCAACCACTGATTCCAGAGCCTCAGAGATTCTTGGTAAATGTTCAACTGATTTGAACATTACTCAGGACAGATGAATACATGTAAACATCTGGTCTCGAAGGAAAAAAAACTATTCTTAAAGTCTCAGATTTTTAAAAGTTTTCTCAGGACATAAATTATGATACGTAAAGTTTTTTTTTAAAAGACTGTCACTAGCTCTGATTTGCACTTTACACAAAATTCCATTTGATCACCAATGGCCTCCGAGGACACAAAGTCTCTTTAAGCATGTATGTGGAATGGTTGTGTTTTAGTAATCAACTGTTCACTTCCTACACATGTCTATCTCAAAAAACCGGAAGCCTCTGGATGCAAGGTCAATGAGCTTTTTGTTTTCCTGTTTTCCTTTTTTAAAAATTGCTGGCATCAGCTGTACAGGGTTTGAACACTAACTTGTTATCCTTGAGATAAACCACTATCTGCAAAGCCCATCCCCAGACGTGCTCTGATTAAGCAATAAGCATCATAAGAAGACACAATGCTCTCAGTACCTTCATTCAAGGAAAGGGTTTAACACAGGGCAGAACCATTTTCAAGTTAGTGCTTTTGTTAACGAGTCCAAACTCATTCTGCTCGCCGCCCAACAGGCTGATAAATCAGGAGACGAGGTGTTGGGGAAAGGAACAGCAACTTTATTTGGAAAGCTGGCAGACCGAGAGGATGTCAGACTAATGTCTTGGAAAACCATCCTGCTCAAGTCAGAAAACAGGCTCCTTTATAA